TGTCCGTGTAACCACCAGGAGTCAAGCCGGACTTGAAGGCACCCCCCACCTACCCCCACTATTAAGTGAGTGAATCTCCTCTAGTAAGTTGCCACGGCCTTTAGATCGTCGGCTTGTGATTCTAAGACTGGCCAAAAAACCCACACACTTGGGCGGGTCTGGGAAAAATGTCTGGACAACACAATAGCAGAAACCTGAAAGGGCAACTCCCATATATTACTATGATATTTTGTAGTGCAATTAACCTTCTGCTTTTTACTGACACCCTTACTTAAGAGAGATATGCAAGCAAAGGTTCAGGGCAGCCCAGTTCAGTCTACATTTTAAGTGCACAAGACGTGTGGTCAAGAGGAGATGGAAGGAAAAGAAGCAGAGCAGTCTGAGACTCGGGCAGAACAACGGAAAGGAAGAGAAGTTCTTAATAACGGCCCATCAGGGTAGTCAGTCAAGGAGGCTCGTGGCCCTTGAGAGAGCACAGTGTTTGGGGCTCCCTTGCTGGAGTGGTCCCTCAAAAACAAAACAGCCCCCCCTTCCCCCCAGGCATAGGTAGGGTTCGGCAGCCTCCTCCCCAGGATCCTCTCCTGTTGTGGTTGGCTGCAAAATGGCAGCTCCCTAGAAGCCGTGGGGCTCAGCTACCCCTCCCCCAGGACCCATAGAAGGCAGCAGGAGAACGCTGTGGATGAATTGGTGCACGGCTCTCCTCTGAGAGTGGAGAACCTGCTCTGCCCTTTTCGGCTTCCTCTGCCCCGATCCTCCGTCCACCTCTGGATTGTGAGTGCTCTTCAGTGGACACGTTCCTCCCTTGATTCCCGGATGAATATTCGCTACCATCAGCATTTTAATGCCTCTGATCATGCACTGAATTAAACACACTTGCAGAGGCAAGAGAGGGTCAGTCATAGTTCAGCAACGTTGCGTGCTGATGCATAAAAATAGTTATTTTTAAACTAGGCAGCAAACATGAAAAAGTGATGCCATGGATGGGGAAGTGGAAGAGCCACAAGGCAGTGCTCGGAGCAACTTCGTTCCATTTAGTTATTTACAGTATTTTGTTGATATCACGACTCCTAGCAGTTTGCCACAATTACAAAGCACAATATTTCAGCTTTCACCATTTTTCTGTGCTTTTCCTGAGCTTCTCCAAGCCCTAAGCTTAGTTGATGTGGATCTTCTCCATCACAGAACATGGTCTATCACAAGGGCTTTCAAACTTTTTTCAAGCTGTAGAGCCCCTGATCAAAGCCTTTATTGAAAAATAAAGCCCTGGAACGCCTGATCTAGGGGCAAAGCTCCAGGGACACAAAATTGGCTGTGTTTAAGGAATTACTATTGTTGTTGTTGTCGTTGTTATTCCTTATGGAAGTCGATCACGTTCTCACAGGACCCTAGGGTTCACGGAACCCAGTTTGAAAATCCTGGTCTCCTACGTGCCCTTCACTGATAAGCGCATGGTAGTCCTGGACTCTGTCCAGCTCTGAATTAGCTGAAATGGCTTTGAGGCAGAAACGCTCCAGGATCTGGCTGTCAAGATCTCCGTCGCCCATAAAGACACATCTTGGAGAAAGGCACCTTCGCACTGCGCAGCAACAGAAAGGCAGGCCAAACTGTCAGTGCAGGTGATCCCAGCAAAGGCACCCAGGACTACTTTTAACTTCAGATACCTTTTAGTTTAACTAAGTTTAGTTATGCTTCCACTTTCTTGCACTTCCATATATTCCTGCAGCATGCGGAGAAGCTGATCTTTCACGGGGCTGATTTTGACAGAACTAAGTTGGCCACAAACAAGCAAAAATCCAACCCTCTGCACACTAACAGACTTATCGCACAGAACCCCCAACCCTCATCTGTTTGAATGAACAGAAAGGGGTGTGTGTGTGTGTGTGTGTGAGCAAGAAACACACTTGCAGGCAAAACTACCCTTCACTGCTTTTAGCAGTTTTTCAAAACCAGATGGATGCTGACCAAACAAACAGAGATAAAAGGAGCTAGGAATTGGCTAAAGCTATGATTATTTTGCCTGCCTGGAAGACTCACTCTGGCTTGTTCCAGACAACATGGTTAAAAGAAATCAGAGTTCAGCCTTTTGTTCAAAGCAGTACAAAACTTCCCCAATGAATTCTTAATTGTGTAAAGAAAAGCACTGGGAGTTCTTTTCTGCTAATAAAGTGATCTGATGGTAAATTAGTGTGAAGCCTCATCCAAGTATTTATACTATTTATCCAGCAGGAGCTATGGATATCGCTTCAAGCAAGGATGGACTTCCTTTGCTGTACCAATCAGTTATTCATACCGATACACAGAAAAGTCTTCTCCCCAAGATACAAATACACTTTTTAAAAAGCCTCTGTATTCTGGAAGAGGTGCATTTCATTTCCTACAAACAACTCAAAACAAATAAAAAAAATAACAATAAAGAAAGAAGTAAAGTTTTCTGCAAAGCAGAATATAAGATATTTACCAGGAGACACCCTTAAACTGGCCCAGGCCACAGAGATTTGTTTAAAATAACGTAGTAACATTAAATAAAGTAATGTCACCCTAGGTTCCTCTGCCATTCGACAGAGCCGGGTGAATCAGATGTTGGCCACCTAGCGAATGGCACAGGACCAGGCGTTCCCATCAGGCGCCAGCCGGCTGGCCACCTTGGCATCGGCCTGAAAACTCAATACTTACTCTTGAACGGCTCTGGCGATTGAGAGGGCCGTGGATCCAGTTTCGTTCACGCTATCCAAAGTCACATTGGGCAGGTCATCATCGTCACTGTCGCTTTTAATTTGCCTGGGAGACAGGCCGCGTGGGTCCATTTGTGCTGGGAATAAGGAGACACAATTGATTAACAACAGCACAGTGACATTAATACCGCCCCATAACAACACTCAGATGGACCCAGTCCCTGTATTCTGTAAATGCCCTCAATGCATTTCTTATTCTTGTTTAGGTCTCAGCAACAGCTCACAGGTATCAATTAAAAGAATGTACAATTTAAACAATGAAATGTGTGTGTCCACAGCCAGAAGTTCTATTCTAGTCCAGTGTTTCTCAACCTCGGCAGCTTTAAGAGCGTGGACCTCGACTCCCAGAATTCCCCAACCACCATCTTTCAAACATTTCACAGGCTGCCGTTTGGGGAGCAGGGAAATGACACCATGGGAATTCACTGTCAGGCATTAATGGAAGAAAATCTGGTGGACCGAGAGCCAAATGACCCATATAAGGCCAACGGCTGCCTTAGAACTGCAAGGAACAGTCTGATCGACCTCTGTCCTCCAGAAACAAGTTGAGGCGCATCCAGGGAGAGTGGATCCCTATTGCAAAGCGACTTGCCGACCTGCAGCTGCCGGATTAATGTGCAGATTGGAATGTGATCTGCTTTGGAATACGCCGCCTACAAGATGGTTCTGCGAAAGGGATTTTCCTCCTCCAACCCACCCGCCATAGCCAAACGGAGCAACTACACATCACAGCAGCACCTGTGCACACACAAAATGTGTCGGGAGCAGCACTCTTTTCAACATACATGATGGCTGAGGTGCTCCCCAGCTGCCCCAATCAACAAGCACCTTTGATAAGCAAATAAATGACAGTTGTCAGTTCAAAATGTGCCTGCTGTAGGGACCTGTAGAAGGCCTCACATCTCACCTAGGTCTTCTCTGTATAAAAATGGGTGAATGAGTTCTATTCTGCTCTTTCAGTTTCCTTCTCCTTTTTACTGCACGTTTTTAAATTTGTTTTCAATTTTGATTAATGTCCTTTGTACACTACTTTGGGATGCTTTTGCATATGAGCTAGCATAAAAATGCATTACATACATACATACATACATATGTATCCTCTTCACATTTTTGTACTTGTTTTCCTAAAGAGTACTAAAAGAGCCACTTTTATATGAGATGGGTGGCTACATAAATACGATAAACAAACAAACAAATAAATAACTTTGTGCAGGTTTTAAAAAACCACAAATCTGTACGCAAGCCGGGTGGAACAAATTTCCAGGGGCAAAGAAAGCTGACATAAAAACAAAGCTGAATCAATCCACTGAACTTTGCTCACAGGTAAAAAATGAGAGGCTGATCGTTGTAAGGCACAAATACACTGAGACGTTCAGGAGCACAATTACCAGAAATCACTCTCGAGTGGGATTACTTGGCAGATAGACTGGCCTTTAGCGTGGAAATGTGACGGTCTGAGAAGACACTACGGAGGAGAAGAGAGACCCCTCCCCGGAAGCTGCACAGCACAGGATGGGGGGGGCAGCCAGGCTACCTCCCCAAGGGATCCCATCCAGGACCTGGAAGCGGCCCCACAGAACGGCTGCACCCACCCACCTGAGGGGTAACATCTTCTACGGTGCCTCCGAGAAGAGTGAACAGACTTCACTCCTGTGACTGATGTTTTGACAAACCTGCCATCAGACAAAAATGTGCAGCTCCACAATAATAGTTGCCCAGTGCAAATATTCAAGTCACGCAAACATTATGCTAGTTGTTCTATATAAGGACTCAGTAACCATGCAAAGGGTAGAAAAAAGTTCTTCTAGAAGTCGAACTGCAGACCTTGATCACGCGTTCCCATTTCTCTTGGCTCTGTAAACTCCGAGTACAACGTGCTGCTTCCCATTAGCATTATCAAACAGCAAGTCCTGAGTACTTTTCTCCCATTTTTAGTAAATATCTAAATGGCACGGAATGCGACTCTAAGCAACAAAGCCTGTGCGTCATTCTCGCGGCATGTCACTTCTGCCCTGGAATTAAGACGCAACAACAAACAAACAAACAAATAAATAAATAAAAGACTGCTGCCTTTTCGCTACAGCCAACACCGGCTGTCTAAAAACGCAACGGTTCCTCCCACGCCATGGCAGGATCAGCCCTGTTCTCAAGCGCATTTGAGGATACCATACATCTGAACTCCTCTGCGTGGCACATTCAGAAGGAACTGCTCCCGTGCAAAGATGACATTGCAGGGCCCTTATCTATCCGGTCGGTTTAACTGAAGAAGAGAATAATGTCTAAGATGTATGTGGTGTCCTGCCAGGAAAACTCGTCTGTACGGAGTAGAAAAATACAACTGATGCACATGAAGAGAGGAAGCAGGAGAAGAACCCACATCACAGATCCTAAAAGATGTCAAATGGGAGACCAGGATTTGGTGAGAAGGGTTTACCTTGGGATCAAAACAGCATAAAGAAGCCTCAGTTGTAACTAAAACTCCCTCGGCGTTGTTAAACCTTAACGTTTGCTTTTCTCCCAAAAGCTCTATCTGTGGGTTTCTGTAATTTGAGAACATCAGTTGGCTACCATAAAACTCAGCTCTCACTTAGAGAGAAAACTTTCAGGCCAAGCCGAGCTTAGAATGTTAAAACATACATTTTAAAGGCAATCTCGTTTTTTGTTTTTTGTTTAAATAGGATTGGTCAATAATGTCAATTGCCTAAACTAACCTCAAAACAAATCATGGATTTTTAAATTTGTTGGTTTTTTCCCTATATTATATTGTGGAATGTGGTTAGAAACCCATGATTTATAGAAAGATGAGGGCATCAATTTCCAATACTCTGTTAGCAAATTAAAGGCAAAGAACATCCTTCAGTATTAAAGTCTCTTTGCAAACGATACTCCATCAACTTCATCACTTAGCTGTGACTTTAAAATGGCAGCTATATTATCTTGCCCTTTCCGAATTATGCAACTAATTATGCAGTAAGCTTGTTAATGCCGCAGGATTATCATTTCTTGGACATGGATGCTGAATATTAACATTCCTTTGTGCAGAGGGAAAGGGGAAAAAGAAGACATCTGTCGGAACGTTCTGGTGCCACTGTAAGGTTGCTCCGTGGGCACGGCCTGTGCGGAGGAGCCTCTAAAGGAAGAGAAGGCCTGGCCCTGCATGGGTCTCCCAAAGGGAAGGACCACGTAGACAGCAACACACTCTGGGTCGGCCACTTGCACGCATTCTGCGCAAGAAGAACAGGGGGAGGATGACCCCCTTTCCAGTCTTCCTCGCACAGCTTCTCAAAGCATGAATGCTCCATCTGGCTGGGCATCCAAGATCTGGCAAAATATTCCCATTCTTTGGGGTTGGCTGAAGCAGCTTTCGCGAGCCACGTTCCTGGCCCTACAGCCTGGGGAAAATGCCTCGTGCTTGCTCGGCCCAAGACTGCTCTTCAGGACCTCTCCCTTAAACTGCCGTATTCCTCCTGTGGTTAATGCGCCTTCGCCCCTTTCAGGTCTTCTGCTAACAGGAGTGCCACATGCCCGCTTCTTCGCCAGCCAGCCCTCTTTTTAAATGCAAACACTCTCTCCAGGCAGAAATCCAAAATCCGTCCAAATGGCCAGGGCTTCTAGAAGAGGTCAGCTAGAAAAGCCTGAGCACACATTATCTGGGTTCATCGTTGGGGTGAACTTGGGAGGGAAAAAAAGGAAAAAATCCATCAGTCCTCATTCATTTTTTGGATTTATGTTTGGTCTGTGCCAAATGCTGTGACCTCTCTTACTGATATCTTATTCTACGGAGCCTCCCCCTTAAGGCCTGAAAAACAGCACAGACACACGGGGAGGAGCATATTTTTTTAAAAAGATGCAGGCCACACGATGTGCCACACATTGGTAAACAGCGCTCTCCCCAGAGCATCCTCTTTTTAAAAATTTCAAACATGGCAATCACAAATACCTTCAGGACCAACTCTGATTTTACAGAGTGTGTATAAATATCACCATAAATTCATATGCATCTCTCATGGTTATATCCAAGTATGATATAAATCTAGCTGGTTTCCTCTTTGAAACTCATGATGTTCTCTCTGGGGGAAAAGGACTCGGAGATATTTTAGTCTGTTTTAAAATAACGTCTGCTTGTTGTCGACTTGAGCGGCGCGGCGGGTTTGTTCGACACACAGCCTGCTGGACTGAGAGCGAAATGGCAGCTGAATTGCTCTCTCCCTGGCTATGATCAAACTGCACAGGACATTAAACATACACAAAATCTCCTATTTCAAATTAAAAGTGTGTGTGGGGGGGGGGGGTTGATAAGGGGTTACCATTTACTGTGCCTCGGGTTTCTTAGCTCCACGTGCCTCGCAGAGGGTTCTGTTTCCAAAGGAGAAAGTCCTTTGACGGTCGTCCTGGTGAGCAGAGGCGAATGGACCCTGCTCCCAACACACGGCTGAAGCGATTATCCTAGACCAGTGTTGTCCAAACTTGGCCATTTTAAGATGAGTGGACTTAAACTCCCAGAATTCCCCAGCCAGCATGGCTGGCTG